CGCGCGAGGGACCTCTCTCTCTTCTCGTCCTTGTCACACTCACGGACAGAGGGAGAGAGAAGTCCCTCGCGCGAGGGAGCTAGCCCCCGCTAACACTGTGCGGAATCACCCTGCAGGGCCGCCAGGGCCGCGTGGCCGCGCGCGTGACTCACCTCGCTTGCCCGGGTAGTACTCGGGCGCGACGAGCCAGGCGGCGGGCATGGTCCTGGGGTCGGCGTTCTCGCTCCGGCCGACGCGCGGGAAGGGGATCAGCCCCTGGCGCTTGTTCTCGCCCAGCCCTGTGAGCAGACGGCTGCGGTGAGCGAGCGGCGGGCGCGGCAGCGGCGACAGCAGGAAAGTCAAGGGGCAAGGAGGAAACGGAAGGGGCGACAGCCGACAGAGTGAAAAACAAAACCAGACAGAGAGCCCGCGAGCTTGCAAGAGCCCGCGTTCCCTGGCCAAAGAGTGCGTCATGCAGAAAGGTGGTGATCTGAAAAAGAGGAAAAGAGAAGGAGAGAGAGAGAGAAAGTCAACTCACACGTCTACTGGTGAAAGGTCATGCGGTACGAGACGAGGTGCGCAGCTCTATGTGTTGCGCTAAGTGCAAGCCTCTACCAGTGTCGAACCCCGCACTCCGCTAACTGGCAAAGGCGCCGGCGGGGAAGAGAAACTTGGCCAAACTTCGGTCAGCGCTTTTTGCGTGCGCATGGAGAACGGGGGAGTGGAACCGAATCCGCCAGCTCAGAGTATCGTCAAATTCAAATTGGAGTTAAATATTTCAGAAATGAAACTGCTCTGAAGAGCATGCTAGCGCACTTAGCATTCCTAGGGATTTGGGTGTCCATACCTCGTAAACAGAAAGCGTGAACAAGTTATGAGTAGGACAACTTCTATTAAAACTTCATTAAGAAAAAAAAATTGTCTGAAAACGGCATCTGATGCACCCAAAAAAGCACCCGAGAAGTGATTGCAACATGTTTTTGAACAAGGATTCCGATTTTCTAGAAATTTGAATGTATTTTCGTTGTTAAATACAGTTATGACTCTAAACTTTATTCCGTTGGGTTCGGGCTTTATTAGGGGTCGTCCAAGCTCCAAGTTCAGCCTCTGCGAGCTCTCAAAGCGCCTGGGAGGTAGATAACATATTGCCTGCAGTGCATATGTGTACTGCGGGATGGCCTACCTTGAGTTCCACAGGCGCCGAGCTACCTTAATTTGCCGAATAAATCTGAGAAAAACGGACGTACTTTCGGTACGATCCCTTATATTATGCCTACCACTTCGCCCCTCAGTCCCCCCGTTTTTCTCAGATTCATACGGCAAATTACGGGAGCTCGGCGCTCGTCGCCTGCGAGAATCAAGGTGGGCCACCCAGCAGTACACACATACATACACATACATACACATACATAATGAATGCAATATGTTATCTACCTCCCGGGCGCTTTGAGAGCTTGCAGAGGCTGAACTTGGCGCTGGACGATCCACAATAAAGTTCGGGGTCATAATTGTATTCACCAAATAAAAAAACATTTCAATTTCTAGAAAACTTCTCAATCTACAGAGTCTTTTAGCAATAAGTGTATACAGAGTGGTCCACAGACCCCTTCCTTTATTTTGCTTATACTGTACCGGATGCAGGCGTGCGGGCGGGTTGCATACTCACACGGGGCCATAAGGCGCCGCGGTGAGCGACGGTAGGCAAGCCCGCCCGCACGCCTGCATGCGGTACAGTATAAGCAAAATAAAGGAAGGGGTCTGTGGACCACTCTGTATAGAGTACTAGTAACAGAGCTGTGTAAGAATAATGGGTAGATTCACTGGAAAAACAAAGGTGCTATCTCATGCCTTTTTACAGGTGTTAGTGAAATAGTGCTGTTACCACGGGCTGTTACAAAGGCGCGACTGACCCCTAAAGGTGCTATTTTTGGTAATTTTAGTGCCTTGCGTGCATTAGTGCAGTAGCACCTTCAAAAGGTGTTATATAGCACCTTTGTTTTTCCAGTGTTCGGAATCCTAATTGAGCAATTGTTCAAAAACACGTTACAAACAAGGGAGCTACCTAGGTGTATGAGTGGCCGATTAAAGCATAATTTTTGATGTTAAAGTTGAAAGTCCAAAAGTTAGGCTCTCACACTTCAAATGACCCGGAACCGCTTGAGCTATAAAAGCGCTAAAAAGCGCTGAAAAAATTTCTATTTGAAGGCTACTTCAGAATATTTTTTTTTGAGGAAGTCGGAGATGGGCGGTTATGATCTTGTAAATGGTATATGGACTAGCGCACTGGTTTACGCAAGCCATTTGAGGACACAAAAATCCCTCAAATTGCCAAGCATGCGCTGCTCTGGGCTTTCGTTACACTCGCAGAGAATATGAAGTAACATTTTTACTTCAGGTGAAATGAAAATGATTGTGCGACGCTAGTCGGGGCATGGTACTCCCCCGCGCTCCTAGCGACGTGCGCGTCCGACGTCCGCGCTGCCAGCGATGTGCAGCTGCAGTAGCAGCAGCTGGCGCAGCGCACTCTACCTGAGTCCCTGGTGCCCCAGGTGGCCCTGCCCACCCGGGGGAAGGGGAAGAGGCCCTGGACCTCTCGCTGCACTCTCGTGTGGTGGTCGGGGAGGCCGTCGCCTACCCCGGGGCCGGGGCCGTCCTCTGCACGCACAGCATATCCAGGGGGAATTATTTAAAACAGACATGGTTATTTAACGCCCACATCCGCAGCCAGTAGAGAGGGTGAAGGAGTGTGGTGTGCCCCCCCCTTATCGGCACTGGGGCCGGAGAGTCGCCCACTCAGCGCCCCCGCTCGACCAGCTCGCCCGCTAACCCGCTTTCCACCCGATGAGTCCCGTGTGCTCCGGTTCCAGGCTCCGGGGGATGCAGCGGGATCAGCCGACCGCGCTCCCGCTGGGCCCGGCCCGGTAGGCCCGGTGTAGTACGTACGCAGTACACCGGCCCCGGTGGAGGGCCCGGGCCGCCGGCCCAGCGGCTGACCGCAACACGACATGCTGCGCGGCACCGCGTTAGGAGGGGGATTAGACAAAGCCCCGTGGTGCGGGGCGGGGTGGGGCGGGGGCGGCCTGCAGCCGTAGGCGCAGCGCGTGCAGCGCACGCCCATTGATACCCACCCCACTCGCCAGTAGCAGCTGCGTCTGGAAAGCCTTTCTAAAAGCAGCATTCCAGCCAGAACCAGAACAACGGCCTCTCTTTCCTGCGGGAAACACTTGAACCGGCCGATCGCATACTCCATTCACGCACAGCATCCCCTTAAGAGACGCGGCGGCGGGGAAGGGGCGGTGGCTGCGGAGCGGCGCGCCTCCTGCCAAGTCATAATCCAGTTGTGAAAGTTGGCGGAGCTCGGGACAGGTGTGACAAAAGTCGGGCAACACTGTAGGGAATCGGCGCGTCCAGAGGCGCACCACTCACTGCCCCCGCGCGCTCAGTATGTGGGGCGGGAATGATCTTGGAGAGAAAAGAACAATCAAGTGAACTGAAATCGTGCACACGCGTCGTCGAACGTGACCTCACACATTCAGTGAGGCGATGGTGTATGCTGGGGGCTGGTCGGGGATGGCGAACACTTTCCCCCAATAAGTCAATATGTAATACAGCGCAACAATTCACAAATGTTGTTTATAACATACCAGGTGGCTGATTCATTCCGCGCACTTTCGTAGTTATACTGTACCGCATGCACGAGTGCGGGTGGGTTTGCCTATGCACGCTGCTCACGGCTCCTTACGGCTCCGTGCGACTAGGCATCCTGCCCTCACGCGTGCATGCGATACAGTATAACTACGAAAGTGCGCGGCGTGACTCAGCCAGCCACCTGGTACTTAATACAGGTTGGGTGATCCGCGCCGTGTTTTTTTTCTGCTTATACTGTACCGCATTCATGCGTGCGGACGGGTTGCATACTCGCACGGGGCCGTAAGGCGCCATGGCGAGCGACGATAGGCAAGCCCGCCCGCACGCATGAATCCGGTACAGCATAAGCAGAAAAAAACACGGCGCGGATCACCCACCCTGCATACCAAGGAGGCTGACTACACCTAGAAAAATGAAAAGCTGTAGCATTCATCGTATGGTTACTTCAGGGATAGCCATAAAATGGTGGTTATGGGGCAACATTAAAATGGGCGCACTCTTAACGCCGTCGTCGGCTCGCTTTCGCCAAAATTTCGGCACCTTCATTTTGATTGCCAAATTGAGGCCGTCTTTTGGCCGTTATTTGCCAAAACTCAATATTATCTAAATAAAAGACCAACTCTAGGCCGCTTTGAAGGGCAAATTTCGGCAAGCAAAGATAGGCCAAACATTTGTAGTCTCTAAAAGCCGGCCAAAATTGAGCAATCAAAAAGGAGTGCCAAAATTTTGGCAAGCTGGGCGACCACGGCGTTTAAAATGCGTTAGAACTACAACGTGGTTCTGATAACTGTATTATTGTCAATTTTGTTACCATAGTATGCTAATTCCTGAGGTCCTTACTATGGTTGATAGGGCACTCCACTTCTCTTGTCGTAACCCCCGCACTTCTGTAGTTACGCAGTACTGCATTCCTACGTGCGGGCGGTTTGACTAGTACTCGGTCGGCTCAGGGGCGATAGGCAGCCCGCCCGTGATTGTGCGTGCGGTACCGTAAAACAGGCTAATATGGATCATGCGGGGTTATGTGGACCACCCTCCTTGTAAGTGGTAGTACGAGTCGAGAAGAAGTGGAGCATAGAAAAAAGATGGTGGTATACTTTACCACGAATGGTCCATAGCCTGTGTTACGGTATAGTAACTACAGAAGTGCCCAAGATTAATCAGCCACCTGGTACAGGGCGATCTACAACACATTGGGTTACCATTACCCGAGGGGGCAACAACTCCGGGAATCATGCGTACACCTGCCTGGGAAGCATCAGGATAAAAATTAATCGAAATCAACAGAAATCGCTGAAACTAAGCGGGAAACTGGAGGAACTGGTACAAATTAGTCGAAATCAGCGTTTTCTACCACTAGAAAACCTAAGGAATGATTATAAGCGGACGGGAATCACTGCAAATCAAGAATTCCGGGAATCATGTGTACACTTCAAAAGGGAGTTATTGCCCCCTCGCCATTACCTAAAATCAATATTTAACTTTCATTTAAAATGGGTACTTGAGTGGAGGGAATGAAGTTAAGGGTCATGGTTGAATTTAACAAAACAACATACAAAGCTCTAGAAAACTCCCTAATCTGTAGGCTTTTATTAATAGTGTACAGAGTACTAGCAAACAGAGCTCTGGGTTTGTCGAGCCAGTATTCCTCACTATAGGCGTGGACTAACGGAAAGAGGGGGGTGGGGGGCTTTTTGAACAATCAGGAACATTTATTCCACCCACTACTAGACTTAGTTAGATAACTCTAAACCTTCCAGAACGTCTTCAAATTTGTTAATAACACTCAAATGTCGTGGTAACTTCGAATGCAACTTTTTTTTTCATAACTTTTTCAGAGGCTGCCAATTTTTGGCGACATAAGAATGCCGAAAGTTGACATTGAAAGAGTCCCAGAAGAGGACAAAAATTGGCAGCCTCTAAAGAATGACAACAACAAAAGTTTGTGCTTTAAACTTGTGTAAATGTTGAACAAACCCTGGGAGAGTTCGACAACCACCACAACACTGAAAACAAATTTCCCCTCCCAAAACTGCCGTCTCGATGCACCGCTGGGGCTTACCGTGGTCCTGCAGCGGCTCGGCCGCCCTGGCGCCAAGGGCCAGCGCCGCCAGAAGCAACACGTACTCTCGCATCTTGTCCTGGCTGCCCGGGGTGTCTCGGCTCCGCGCCGCACTGTTGGGCTCGGCTCGACTCGGATCTCCCGAATCGAATCGGCTCGACGCAGGTCGGGTGGCGTACCGGGCTGCGATCTCAGGAGCAAAGGGGTGCCAGAAATGTGGAGCGAGCCGTTATATACCGGCGGTGGGGGGTGGGGACCACTAGTGGGGCGGCGCGGGGGAGCGGGGCAGCGAGCACTCCCACTGGTCCGGGCCGCCGCCCCTCCGCCCTCCCCCGCGCCCGGAGCGCTAGCGTGGAGCTAGCCAGGGAGTGCAGACCACCCACTGCCCCTTCCCCTCTTGTGTCCTTCGTCCAGGGCATGCCGACTCGAGGATCCCACGCAGGATCTCGGAATGTTCGACCAATGGCTGCACTGCTTGCGTGATATCCAACCAGCAAAGGGGCGAAAATGGTAGAGGGGGGCAAATGGCGCGGTGCGAGGGGGGAGAAGATTGAAATCTAAACTGATTTTGACTTGATCAGGGGAACGCGACGTGGAAAAATTGTCGATCAGAGGGTTTAGATTATCGTCCTCCCCGCAGCACCGAAGTCCCCGCTGCTGCACGATGCGAGGGGAGGGCCCGGCGGTCGAAGGTGGAAGGCTGTCGACGCGCCCGGACGCCTGCTGAGTTCTGCTGCCGCCTGCAGGGACCTGTAGGGGTGGGGCCGCGCTGCATCGCTCGGGCCGCGGGGCCGCCTCCACCCCGCGGGGTCGACGACTGGCGTGCTTTCCGTACCGGGCTGACAGTACGGCTCGCACGGCTTGCCCTTACATAGGTGTACTCTTGGGACTTGAGACATTGCCCAAGACTGTCTCTACCGAAGATGAAAGTGCTCTATACCCCCTCCTTTTCCCTCTAGCACAAAGCCAGCCACAGAGCGCGCTTCGGGGTAGCAGACGGCGGACGGACCGGCGTTCGGCAGGGCAGGTACCGCTGCGCTTTAAACTTCGGGCGTGAACTGTTATTGTGGCTACGCGTGGGCTGCACGAAAAACTGGGGAGGGGGAGGGGGGATTTGTAGTCTTGGCGAGGGGACTGTCTTGCCTACACGCGGAGATAAAGGAGCAAAGACGAAGAGCACGTCGGTCCTGGCGGCGTTGTCATCCCCGTGACGGTCATGTACGCGGTGTCATCCCCGTGACCGTCCGAAGAGCGGTAGTCATCTCCGCGACGGCCTTGGGCGCTGTGTCATCCTCGTGACGGTCCTGTGCGCGGTGGTCAATGGTCATTCCCGTGACGGTCCCGGGCCTGAGCGCGGTGTCATCCCCGTGACCCTCCCACCAGCAGTAATCATCCCCGTGACGCTCCTGTGCGCGGTGTCATCCCCGTGACCCTCGAAGAGTGGTGGTCATCCCCGTGACCGTGTTGGGCGTGGTGTCATCCCCGTGACGGTCTAGAGTGCAGTGTCATCCCCGTGACGGTCTGGAGTGCAGTGTCATCCCCGTGACGGTCATGGACGCTGTGTCATCCCCGTGACATGGTCATTTCCTGTGGTCATTCCCAGTGGTCATTCCCTGTGGTCATTCCCTTTGCGTCATCCCCGTGACTCCCTGAGGAGTGTAGCTATTGGAGCGGGGGGGCTCCCCTTTTCTTGCCGACTTTTGCTATTTTACAGCTTTGTACGCTCTCTTGTTTGTAGAAAAAAACATGTTTAAACTTGTTCGGGAGGTTTGACCCGTATTGATTCTCGAAGCGTATGGTCTGAGGAGTTGTTTTTGACTAAGAGTGTAATTCTATACAGAAAGATAAGTTTTTAAACTTGATTTATGTTTTTAAAACGGGAAAGTTCAAAAACCTGGGGACAGACATTCATATTGTTATATCTTCACTAATTTTTGAAATTTCTGAACGCGCTTTGGCTTAAAATGATTATTGATTCATTCTACAAATGAACTATTTTTTGGTTTTGACCTTTACGCTCTCCCCCTAATTATCCGAGTGCTTTAAACTTCAAAAATGGAAACAGGGACACGCCAAAAACGCGTATTTTGGCCCTTCCTGTCATCCCCGTGACCTGCTGGTGTCAAAATTGACGAAACTGAGGTGTGTTCCTAGTCCATCTCGATCTTCTGCATGCGTTTCGACTCCGAACGATGTTCGTGTGCCTCGCATTCAAGATTAAAGGTCCAGGGACACGAATTTGACACAATTTTCAAATCCACCCTTATTTGCCTGCTTTCTCGTGTACTTGACAGTACTGCTCCAGCGAGCGAGCCCCCTAAGGAGAACCCCCTGCGGGTGGGCAGGCCCGCGCAACACGCGCGCGCGGCGGGCTGGCCTACCCCACGGCGCTCCCCGCCACCCGGCCCGGCCAGCCTGGGGCGGCAGGACCCGCACGCCGCACGACTCAACGGGAGGGACCGCGGCTCCAACGTGTTTGCTGCAGCGATGGGCGTGGCGATCCGTGAGGGAGCCTGTCGTTGGAATGATTTTATTCGAAACACCACATTGAACTGGATGTAAGAATATTTGGTAAGGAGAGGTAGAGGTCTGTGTTCGTGGGCAACGCCATTTACTAGGCTGGTTCCTTTGGAAATGCTGTAACTGATCCCTCGTTGCGTGAAACACAGTCTGGCGATATGGACACATCGAAAGTCTGTCGTTATGCGCGAAAGTTGCCCGACAGTTCATCAATAGGGATCGCCCTGCGACGAAAATTAGCAAAAATTAGCACAAAAACTGCCAGGTTGATGACTGTAGACAACGTCGTAGGAAGAGGCTTCTAATCTACAAATGGAAGAAAACGGGCGCATTCTGAACCTACACTGTTAAATCAAATGTGTGTCTGCTGTGCTGTACTTTTGCTAATGTGGGGCACGGCACAGGGCACAGTGCCTCACATTACCTCAATTAGACTATGTAGTGCCTGTGCCTCACATTACCTAATGAAGAG